GGGAGTCATCCTCAGTTATGTCACATTGATGGTATGTTTTTTCCTATGTAGTTATGTCTGTGTATAGGTGCATCTATCTTGGTATAACAACGATACACCTATGTGTCTTTGATTAACTGTGAGAATTAGCAGAAGCTCTGTGGCTCTCTGCACTTTTGTAATGCTGTAGTTTTATTTACCTTGATGAGTTGACAGCTATTGGGGTATGACCTTCTGGGGTCTAAGAAAATATAAACAACTGAAACCAAAATGACACTAAAGTTACATGCACAACCTTGCCATAAAGTGTAGAGCCAGATTTAAGAGGAGATATAAGAAGTATAGCAAATAGTTTTTTTCAAGAATGATTGTAAGAAGTGGAAGTTGTTAGCCTAAGAAAAGGCTAAGTGACGGTATGGTGGCACTTTTTGTATGTATAAGATGGAAAGGCAGGTGTAACCAATGTATCTGTAGGTAAGTCATTCTCCAGCTCCACTGGGGATGGGGTGGGCTTGAATCAAAGCAAAGGAGCTGCAAGTTAGACCCAGGAAAACCTTTCTAGCCATGACATTAGAGAAACACTGGAAGGGAATTGCCTGAGAAGGCTGGAAAACCCCTCTGGTAGTGGAGATTCCATGAACTTCTGCTAAGAATGGTTTAGATCTACTTAATGCTGTGACAGAAAGATGGATTAAACAATCTCTTGAATCGCCTTATTTTCTGTTATTCTATACAGAGTGCTAACTTGTGAGGCAATGCTGATGTATTTAATAATTCTCTTGCTAGCTCCTTTCGTTCTTTCTAATAACCAAAAAATGCAAAATGCACAATGTTTTTCAAACATCTCTTCTAAACCTTCTAAAAAAACCTTCTAAACATAGCTTTTCTTCTCCTTCAAAGTGAGGAGAAAATTATTTCTGCATAAAAACCTTGCCACATGAAATGGTTATTTCTCTTGGCAGCTTTTCTTTCCAATGATTCACTGATTCCCTTCAAGAAAAGGCAGCTAGATCAAACTATAAGGATAACCAAAGCAATGTCCGTAGTAGCAGAGTTAAGAGCTAAAATGTCATGGTGTGTAAGTAAAAAGTAAAATCTGGTGTAATGATCTGATACATATATCTGATCCCTGCACCTGAAGTCCTTGATGAGGAGGGAGGTTAAAGGCAAATGAGTTCAGTTTCTGTAGTGGTGGTGAAATTAGAAGTTACAGTACAATTGAAAGCTCTTTGTTGGCAGAAACAAAAAGTCACCCACCTGCTGTGTCTCATATTAATGTCTTGTTCTCCTTGATCGTAGCATTACAGCACCTTTCCTTAGAATGTTGCTCTCTTTGAATCATTCATTGTTGCATCTTCTGCAAGGGAAAGCAATATTCCCAACATAATCCTTATTCTGTGAAAAGATAGCAAAGCTCTTTTAACTCATGTTAAAAAAACATGTGAAAGGACCATTTCTTTCATAGTAGACGTGTTGAAAGACAGAGTGAAAAAAAGCCTCTAAAACTGTGATTTCTCAACCATTTCGGCAGTCCACTTTATGATGTAGCTGCAGAGATACTTGTGATTCCTAGCAGAAGGGAGGAGGTAGTGTGAGGCTAGGAATCTCAAAGGATATGGAAAAGGATAGGCATTCTCCTTCTCTCCACAGTGACCACAAGTAAGTGTAAAATGGTGCATTAGATCACCCTTCTAATCACTAATTTGCAGAACTAGAGAGAAAACCTAATCTCTTAGCCTCCAGGCCATCAAATTTTATTTTAAAAAGCCAAAACAGAAAAACCACGAGAAACTACAACCAAATCTACCTTTCCTCTTTCCTTCAGATGTAATTCTCTAGTTTTAAATTGCCCTGTTAGTCTTTACTAATAATAATCATAAAAAATTACTCAGCTTGATCACTGTGAATTACCAGTGATTATTCTATTGTCTCTGTTTTGTGGTCTAAGATTAGCAAATACTTTGTACAATCTAGGCGCTTTCTTTTAGCACGCCACCTGTTCTGCTGCCCATGTCTTCCACCTGGCTGATTGATCTCTAATATCTCAGAGACATCCCTGTGATACTGCACTAAATATGATTGCTTTCGTCAGACAACAGCGTGTAAAGAAACCTAACCTTCAAAATGGTCAAGTAGTGAATGGTTAGTTGTATCTCTGTCCTCCTAAGAATGATCATATTCAGTTTAATGATTACTGATGTGGTAGTTATAAAATTGGAGCATTTTCCTGTTGTCACAAATATGTGTATATGAATACATATACACAGATTCTGTCACTCTCCTGGCCTTTGATGTGTGGCTGTAGTGTTCTAGTCTCTCACTCTGATCTTCCCAGCTGGCACTTAATAAGATATAAGCATCACAAGACTTGGATTAAAATGCCAGTTTCATTGTTGCCAGTTCTATTGGACATAATTGCATAAATCATCCCTTCCTTGAAAAGCTTCTAGATTTCTACATATAGTACTGATTAAAAAATTACCAGTAAGGCTGTATGTATTCAATTACTAGCAAGACTGTACTTTTCAAAAAACACACATCTTATTTCCAGTCTAAGTTAGTCTTCCAGAACAGATATGTTGGGTTTTTTAGATCCTCACTGCCTGGTCAAATTGCATGCTACTAAGTGAGATATTTTACAGAAATCTACTATATTATTGCCATCTTTAAGCTACCTTGATCAACAACAAAACTGAGAGAAATAACATTTACTCCCATAAGCCCACAGTGATATGCATTAATTATATTACTTTCATTAATTATTTATTAATTGGATTCTATATTAAACATTCCGTTAATTTTCTCTAGATCCACATCACGCTCACAAGCTTGTAATTACCTGGATTATCTTGTTTACTTCTAAAAATGTCCTTAGGTTTCTTCAGGTCCTCTGAAAGCTGCCATAGTTTCCCCAACAAAATGAAAAAAAGGATATATATGTCCCCCAGCCAGCTCTTCTAAAATAACTGGATACAAATTACACAGAATTGCAAATATCAAATTACGAACCTTAGTATCAACTCATTAATGTCATCCTAAATTATTCTTGATATGGAAATATTTAATAGTCTCTGCTATACCAAACATCTGTCTCTTCCCAGATACACAATAGAAGTGCTTATTGATCTCTTTTTAATTAACTGTTACTAATGTGAAGATTTCCCTCTAGTAACGAATCACCCATCAGAATTCCTGCAGCTTTGGTTTACTCAGGAAAAAATCTTATTCTTTTTATTCCTGACAATATTGGCAATAGCTTGTCCTTTGTATGTATTTTTCTTGATTAAACTCCTCCATTCTTAACCTTTGGCTTGTATTTGGTATTATTCTTTTTCATGCAATTCTAACTTTAAGTCTGCTTGGTGTTTTAATTAATACGATATTCCTTCTGAAAAAAGATGGTGGCTTTTTCAAACAGGATTGATGCTTAGAGAAATATTCTTAATTAGCATTCGTAGTTTACTGCACTTTTTTTTTTTTTTTTTTTACCTCATGGTGTTATGGTTTCTAATTGTTTTCCACCTGGAAGAACTGACTTATTTTAAAGCAATAAATGCAGTGGTTTGGATGTTAATCATGCTTGCAGTATAAACTATCATGATTTCTTGTGCAGAATTTACACTGATTTTTTAGGTTTGTGATCTGTGGTTTTTCATATGCTAAGATGGCTTCTTAGAGAATCTGCTTGTGCCAGACACAGCATTTTTAGTTAGTGAGAAATCTTTTGCCTCTAAACACTTTGTAGATAGCACTGTCTCCTCTCCTCTGCCCCTGTACATTACTCAGAATTTAGTTATTCATGATAATGTTGATTTTTTACCCCCTCCCCTTTTGTGATATGCAGGTGCAATTGTCTTGGGATTTTAATTTGATTCAGTAGATTGTAGTAGACACCTATTAGTAAACTACCTAGTATTTATATGTTACAGCACTGATTTCATAAGCATTTGGCATCATGTTGCTCTTGAGCTGTCAGAAACATGCAGTATAATTTTTGACATAAGTTGACATTTTTCTTTCTTTTTTTCTAAGTTGCTTGTTTATAAACACTGTAGAACAATTTTTTTAACAACCCAATAATTAGACTCACCCTCCCAGCTTTCAGTAGCACTATCTAGGCTTCCTGGTTTGTAGCCCAAGCTCCCAGTGTTGTTGTACAAACCAATAAATTACCTCTTTATTATTCTCTAACGTCAACGTGAATTCAGGATGCTGAAGACCTTATACGCCCAGCGTTAGTCTGCATTAGCAGTGACAACAGGATAGGGTAGCAGATGTTCCTTGCACTGGGACAGAGCCTCTGCTGGAGCTGTAGAATGTGCAGCTGGTGGTGATGGATCAATGTGGATATAAGATGCATTTGGACTCACCCAGTTGTGGGGCTGTTCTGCAAAAAAACTAGGATAGCCTGTTTATGATGACTGCCAGCCAAACTGCATCACATCTCACCCTCATTTCTAGGAAAACAAGAAATAATAATCCCATGAAATGCTCTTGTTCTAATGAAAAGACATTTTTTGAAATGTTTCCAACCATCTCAGTTGCTCGACCCACTTTCTGACCGACTGCACCCTCTAATGGGGTAAAACAGATTGACTTTCAAAGCAGCCAGTTAATTTTTTTATTGTTTATATCCTTCTAACCCTTATAGGCATAATACAACAGCCCATTCTTTTGACAGTAAAACAAACACAGTTTTGTGAATGTAGATTACAGAGGAGGTGTCAATATCCAATAAACACTTTATATGATTCATCTCTACTGTGGGTTAATGAAAAGTATGTAAATATCTGTGTACATTCATGGTAAAATGAGAAAGGAATTTTAACGAAATCATAGAAAGGAGAATTTATTTCAGTATGATTATTTTTTTTTCTTACTGTGTGAAGCCATCTCATTTTACTAAAGCTTTGTGGGACAGTAAGTGTTGGAACAATGAAAATGAGATGAAACAGACACTTAACCATGATGTTGCATCTTGTCAAACAGGTAATTCTCTAATGGACCAATGAAAGCCAACGATGACAAGTTGTGGTCAACAGTCCTTGAATGTGCTGATGGTTCTGCTTTCCTTACTCTTGTCAGCAGGTAACTTTTATACTTCGAATTTGTCTTTCACTGATGTGTGCCACAGGAAAAAATTAGTTGCAATATAATACTGGGTTCCTACAAAACAAACAAGATCAAATGGATTGTTAATTGAGTGATAAATAGATAAAGCCTCTTTGTGTTTAAGAACTGGAAGCTGGAATTCTAAATGCGATTGAAAATTCAGTTTAGGAATAAAAATTGGTGGGACACTGACATGGCAAAGCAGGCTGAAAATTTAAAAGAAACAAAGCTACTGTTTTGATATGCTTGTTTTTCAGCTCTTCTAGAAGAAAAAGCAAGCTCTACACCACTGTACTACCCAACCATATTGCTAAATAACCATCTATTGGAAGCAGAGCAAGTCAGGTTCCAGTTGTGTATTTTTATATGTGCATACAAGAGTATGTAAGCATGTGAAGGCTTGAACTTGAACTTCAGCTTCATTCTTGAGATGAATAAGTTAGATGCAATGTAACTTGTCTTACATATATTTAAAAGAAAAATGCATGACATCGTGGTACGCAAATATCTAAAGAATTGACTATACCAGGGAGTGGTTGCAGAGATTTTTCTCCTGATGCTTGGTAGATCTGCCCTAGATGTTTGCTAGTAGCACACTGAAAATACTTGTGCAGAAATCTGTTGGTTCTTAGGCTGAGAATTAGTTGAATGCTAGGATTATTAATTGCATTTGTTCTTCAGGATTTATTTATGACATTAAAGTTTTCTGGAATTATGAATGAATATTTAAAGAAAATAATTTAAAAAGTTCTTAATCCAAATAGATTTGATCCTACAAGTTTTTAACTTTCAGTACAGCCTCTTTTATTCTCCATTCTTGAAGCACTATTTAATCCAAAAAGATTTTTTTTTTTTCCATCACTGCTTCTTATTCCCTTGTACTATATCACATCCCTAACCACCGTACTTAAAACTTTACCAGGCATTACATATCTTAAAGTATCCTCGTGCTCCATTAAGAGTTGCTACTATTCTGTCTGTATAATGCCTGTAATACTCAGTGTAAGATTCTCATCAATTAGTTCAAGAGTGCATTTTACTGCCCATAGTCTTATTGCTTGTTTGCAAGTGTTCAAGTTGATTCTTGCTAATGATAGTTCATTATTTAGGTATAACTGACACAGTCCTTTTTCTAACAATGTTATAATATTATCAACTAGACTACTTCTCTGCCTAATCTTAAAACCCTGTTTTCGTTTAGATCCCTTCCCCTGATATCCCTATGTATGGCGCTGCATCCCTAGTTATGTAACTACCCTCCTCCCATGTACTAGAGTCAGGCACAGGGCTTGTGGCAGCTGCTTTGTTGTGGTACAAGCCATTTCAGAAAGCCATTTCACTGGTGTATGAATGAAGTCAGTTATTCAAGAAGACTTTAATGAATGTATCCCAGTGATCAAACATCAGAAAACTTTTCTGTATACTCTAGTCTCTTCTGTTGGTTTTTGCTAAGTTTTCATACGTTTACCACTCTTTATAGGGGACTTCTACTAGAGACCTCCTGAGATCCCACTTCTCCAACCATTTTCCTCAAGCTGATATAAATACCTATGTTCCAGTTGAGCAGGACACTGTGATTACACCGTGTGTGCAAATAGAGTAGTCAGGCTCTGATATATATACACACACTTAGTCCCTCAAAGCCAGACATAAAGTGTTCTGATAATTTTTTTTCTTAGAAGAAAAGTACTGCCTCTGAAGTACAATGTTTTTATTTTAAAGTAATTACATATAGGTTTTCCTTCTTACATAATTATCTATTAACATCACAAACTGTTGTCTTTGTGTACCTTGTTTTCTTGTTGCTTTTTGGCTATTACTATTTCATTATCTGACATCTATTATTAGGATGTCAGAGTACACAGTACAGGCTTGATTTGAAATCACAAGCCTTTCATGCCAGCCTAACTCTACTTCTTGGGGAATTTTACTAGTAACATCTATAAGAGTGGGTTTAGGTCATTGCTAACATTTTACAGGATGAAATTTATTGATTATTTTGGAGCCAGCATGAATGTAAATTTTTTTGGCCCAAGACAGGTCAGCTTCCATAAAGGAAAACTACTGGCTTTATGCAGTGGGAATGACAGAGGGAAAAAAGGATGCTACTTTCACTGGAATGATATGAACATAATTTTAAAATGATCTGAAATAAAAATCTAGTGGCAAGACTCCTTTTGAGTTCCCTAGATTTACAGACTTCTGTCTGTAAGATCATGCTTTACTTCCAAGTCTTTCATATAGTAAGATTCACAATCTTACTACTAAACTTCTAAAATCTGTATGCATGGCTGAAAACTGCACTTAACAATTGGAAGCGTAACTTTCCCTGGCTCCACTGGTGGAATGAAAGTAAGGGCATGAGTAACAGAAAAGTTCCCAGAGCAGCTGTTCTCAGAGCCTTCTTCATTGTGTCAGAAAAAGAGAGAAGCAGCAACAGTGGCAGTGGGGCAGAGGTGTGGTTGGATACCAAGGTTGTGGCTTAGAATGAGGATGAAGTTTGGCAGCTTTAGCTGCATGGTTAGGAAGAAGATGCAGTTGCCTATCGTGGGCAAAATGCTGTTAGGGCAGGGACAAATAACGGTGAAAAGAAAGGGTTCAGTTCAGAGTAGGTAGCTTATGGCTCCATTTAAAAAAAAAAAAAAAAAAAAAAAGATGAAATTGGATTGAGAATACTGAAACTTCAGACTGATTTTATTTCAATGCTACCAAGTTCACAATGGCATGCAATTTAGGATTTGTAAACACCTGCTAGCTGTACTAGCCGCACAAGCAATGCATAATAAAGGGAGGAGCAGCATGCACTCATGCCAGAAGAATACCCTTTCTGACCACTAACTCTTAGATTTTCTTTGCAGTAATGTTGGTACTTATATTCGTTTAATGGATTGAAACACATTTATAAAATCAGGAATGACAACAAGGCTTATATTAACAAGCAAAAATTGACAGATTATTTGCACATTACAGTATTTTTTCTTTGAAGTAGGAAATAAATGTCCATGGAGCAAAATTATCAGAGGATTTCAAATGATTGGCATTGTGCTAAGTAAAATGCATACGTGTGAATATTTCTCTGGATCCATATGGAAACCTTATAAAGACAGCCATTCTGAAAGCCTTGGGGCTTTAGTAACTAAATTAAAAATTTAATCAGCATTACACAAATTTCTAACTGTAAACAGATAGGGATGTGTACTGCTGTTTATTTTTTAAGGCAGAGTAGAGAAATCTTAAGATGTGCTTAAGTCAGTCATTTGAAGCATGACAGACTATTCTCCTCTCGAAATTAGTAGGAAGAGAGATAGGAGCATCTATATCACTTATCTGTTCAATAATACTTTTCCAAAATAGCATGAGAATTTGCACATGCAACTGGACTTCAGAAACAGCTGCCACCTTTGCAACAGACAACTTAAGAGCCTTTCAGGTACGATACTTTTATCTGAAGTATTTCTGTAGGTATAAGGCTCTTTAACTGCCAGGATTTAGGCAAAGTTATTTTCAGGAAAAATACTTTTAAAAAAAAAGATTGCATTTTGTTTATTGTATCTCTGATTCTCAGAGAAGCGAAGACAACAAGTAAAATTGCACAGATTGCAATGAATTGATAAAGTTTTTTCACTGTATACTAGGTCTGGCAGGGATGGGGTTCATTTTCTTCACGGTAGCCCGTATGGTGCTCTCTTTTAGACTGGTGGCCAAAACAGTGTTGGTAACACACCAGTGTTTTAGCTGTTGCTGAACAGCCCTTACACAGGGTCAGGGCTGCTTCTGTTTCTCATTGTGCACCCCAGCAAGGAGGCTGGAGCGGGCAAGAGCCTGGCAGGGGACACGGCTGGCACAGCTGACGCAAACTGGCCAAAGTGCTATTCCAGTACCATGTAACAGCATGCTCAGCAATAGAACTGGGGTGGGAGTTTATCCAAAAATTGCTTGGGACTGGCTGGGAATCAGTCTTCTGGTAGTGAGTGATTGCTTTAGCATCACCTGTGGGTTGGGTTTTTTGTTGTTGTTGGGGGGGGTGGTGTTTCTTACTCATTTATTAAACAGTCTTTATCTCAACCCACGAGTTTTCTTGCTTTGCCCTTCTGATTCTCTCACCCATCCCACTGGGAGGGGGAGTGAGCAAGCAGCTGTGTGGTGCTTAGCTGCCTACTAGGGTTAACCCACCACACACTGACTACCAAATTCAGACTGTAATTCAGACATCGTGTTATGCTTATTTGTGCATTTATTTTAATCACTGACACACATTTTACTATTTAAGGATTTGCTTAGGACTACGTTTTATTACAGTCATCACTTTTCCTCTGACCTGATGTTATCTTCATTCTCCCTTCATTCTGTAGTCATCCTACTGCCAGTTTTCATCCCCAAAGAAGTCTGGGGTTTGTTTTCCTTTTAAAATGGGCGAAGGACCCATTTAGGGATCCGGGACTGCTTTCACACGTGCTGTTCAGCAAATGTTGCAGTGACGAGCAAGCTAAACTTCTTAGGATCCTATAGCCCTCTAGTGCATTCTCACAATGCAATGTTTCTCCAATAGCACTGAATAATTTCAGAAGCATAGAAGTATTCAATTGCTTGTGAAACACAAAGAACTAGTTTTAATTCTTATAACATGCACTAGATGTATATATACAAGTGAGGTATAACCTTGTGGGGCTGCTGTTCACTTGTGGTAGCTTAACATGGGTGTAATTCACCTAAACTAAGTTGTAGTAATAACACACAAAAAAAATACATTTTTGCTATCCTGTTACTTGCAAAGTTAGTTCTAGCAATAAATATCTTCCATTAAAATGTCCCAAACTTGAAACCATCGTCTATACTGGAGGCTTCAAAAATTACTAACCTGTAAGTACTTGTAATAAAAGAAAAAATAAGTTAATATATCTTTAGCGATAAAAAGCATTATACCAGCATTTTGAAAAAAAAATAAAAAATATTCTGTTGATATTGCGTGGCAAACGGTATTTGTGTTGCACTCTGAGGCTTTGCAGGTATTAAAGAAAGTTTTGTTTCCTTGGAGCAGCTGATATAATCCAAGTGCAGATATTCCAGCTAAGAAAGGGTAGTCAAGATGGCTAAAAAGTGAGAACTGTCATACTGATCAGTTCAGATCAGTTATATTTTCTCTATGGCTGCAAGTGAAGTAGTACATGCATTAAGCCATCTAATTCTGATAAGAAATCTGTAGATTCAGCAAAGGTTATCCTTCAGCTGGGTGGTGAGAACACTGGACAAGGTGGGGAGAAGAAACCCAAACACGAGTGTTCAGGACATAAGCAACCCCTAGAGGAGAATGAAAGGCATTTTTCTTACTAGAGAGTTTATTGCACAGCTTTTTTGACATAGCACATACATATCTTCCTTTGAAGCATCTGAAGCTGGCCATTTATTGGAGAAGGATTAGATGGGTGCTCTTCTGCTAGATACTGTAAATGAAAGTCCTGTGGATAAACATCACTATTGGAAGTGCAGTGCTACGCTATGAGAGCTACTCCTTCACTTGCATTTGTTAGGTCCAATAATAAGACTTACTTTCTGTTTGTTGACATCAGGTATGGACTCACCTTTTTTCTTAGTGATAATGACTAGTGGAACTACATGCATTGTAATGCTGCTACACCCTTGCAAGCTGATACCAGATATTTACAAAACACTTAGGGACCTTTATAGGTGCCTAACCATGTGCATCTAATGCCATTTGGCTTGTCCCAGATCATCCATGTGTGCAGCAGACCTACAAGAGACCTGTATCTCCTCCACTGAAAGCTGGAAACCAGACAAAACAGCCTACAGAAATCAGCTGGCACTGGAGACCTGTGTTTAAGTAACTGAATCAAACTCCTGTTCATGTTAGAAATCAAATACTGAGTTAAAAGTTCGATTTAGTTTGTGAATTTCTCCCATGGCATATGTCTCTTCCATTATTTTCTAAATTTAACTTTTCCAAAACCAAATGATACATAGTTAAAACTAAATGATGATGGAACAGAGTGCAACCTCAGCAAGTTTCCTGTTGATACAGAGCTGGGAGGAGTGGCTGATTATGCAGTAGGGTTGTGCTGCTATCCAGAGGGACCTGGAGAGGCTGGAGTAATGGGCTGACAGGAACCTCATGAAGTTCAACAAGGAGAAGTGCTAAGTCCTGCACCTTCCTGGTGAGCAACAACCTCAGGCATCAGTATATGCTGGGGGCCAGCAGGCTGGAAAGCTCTTTGTCTTTGTGGCTCCATTAGTAGGAGTGCTACCAGCAGGCCAAGGGAGGTGGTCCTTCCCCTCCACTCAGCACTGGTGAGGCCACACCTGGAGTGCTGTGTCCATTTCTGGGCTTCCTCTTACAAGAGAGAGATGGAACTACTGGAGAGAGTTCAGCAAAGGGCCACTGAATGATGATTGCAACTGGAGCATCTCATATGAGAAAAGGCTGAGAAAGCTGGGACTATTCAGTCTAAGGAAGAGAAGGCTCAGGAGGATCTTATCAATGTAAATACCTGAAGGGGGGATGAAAAAAAGACAGAGCCAGGCTCTCTTGGGTGGCACCCACTGACAAAACCAAAGGAAATGGGCACAAACTGAAACAGAGAAGGTTCCCTCTGAATGTCAAGAAACACTTTTTCATTGGGAGGGTGACTGAGCACTGCCACAGGTGGCCTGGGGAGGTTGTGGAGTCCCCCTCCTTGGAGATATTCAAAAGCCATCTGGACATGGTTCTGGTCAATAGGCTGTAGGTGGCTCTGCTTGAGGAGAGGGGTTGGACCAGATGACCTCCAGAGGTCCCTTCCAACCACACGTATTGAGTTTTTTCAAACCTTACCTGGAACACTTTCATTGTTGTTATGTTATTTAAGGGGTGGTGCAGGTAAGTAAGTACTTGTTCAAACAAATGCGTGGTCATGCAATTACACGCTTTGTGGATTTTGTGACAGAATTTGAACATGCAGATTTGTTGCAAGAATTATAGAGGGTTTTGAAAACCTAGGTGAAAAGAAAGACAATTTCTTTACTGATTATAGCATCCTCAGATTTGGAACACATATTTTGCCCAGGTGGGGCAAGAACAGATATGTAATGAGTTTTCTCAATACCTATGTTCCTTTAGAAATAGCGTTCTTCTAGCACTTTCAGTCCCTGACTGAATTGATTACAAAAGGATTTTCTCATTTGTTAAAGTAATGATTACAGGTATGTGTTTGTGTGCATGACAGTGTATGTGTGTGTGTGTATATGTGTGTGTATATATATATATAAACATAAAATATTTATGAGTAGTTTTCCTTCACTCAGAGAGCAGTTCGAGTTGCCTTGTTTTCTCTTCAGTTTAGTACTCTGTTTTTTGGTCTAGGTTCCCTCTGTACACAAATAAAGAAGTAATCTCCACTGTCACAATCCTTAAAATGTGACTAGACCTACAGAAAGCGAGTGAGAGATTCTTGAAATTAATATATTTTATAAAATTTTATAAAATTGTTAGGAATAGGCTTTTTTAAGCAACATAGAAGGAAATCAGGATAGATGAGTACAGGTCACAGATGCAGTTACAGATCAACACGGACTACGTGCAGAGAGATACAATAAAGTTAAGCTAAATCTATGCAAGTCATTGTCTGTGACCTCTCATACTGGTAAACTGACACAAAAAAATCATATACCAAGCTATTTCTGTCAGACTAAAGTGAATATCCTTTATGAATTGATGTAACTTCATGAAGTGCAGCTACCCACAGCATTGCTGTGCCTCTGTTGTCTAATGAGGGTAGAAACATTTCACTGCTAAGAGTATTCAGACTCTTGACTTCTACATTTGACTTTCCTTAGAGCGTAAGTCCTTTGGGTGGTCTGTATGGTACATGTAATCTTAAATGATGCCTTAAGGCCTACCATAACACAAAGTATAAATCAGTTAAAATGTTGGTATATGTGGAACCAAATATTGTCCCTTACAAGACTTTCCAGATCAACCAGAAAGTCGCGTGTGTTTGCTTATGACTATACTGGAAGGGATCTATATCCTGCCCCTCTGCACGGCTGATTAGCTCAGGGAAACTAAGATGATTGCACAGCCTCCAGTTCAGAGCTGTTTGCAACCAGTAGGCTTAGAGCATGGTCAGAGAACTTGAGTCTGCCCACAGTCTTACCATGGGGGTGTAACCACAGTGTCCCTGTCACCTCGAGCCTCGAGTCTGCATTCAAAGGATATCTATGGAGAGTGTTTCTTTTTCTTTTTTTTTTTTTTTTTTCCCCCCCAAGGAAAAGTGGTGGTGAAATCAGTGTGACATATTCCTGTATTCCTGTAAAAAATGTTCTCAGAGATGTAATAAACACTTTACATGGGAATTTAATAGAGGAGAAATGTCAGAATTCCCAGGAATAGCTGTATTTCTAGTAGCTCTGTCTATTTGCAAATTCAAAGTTGTTCAGATCTGTTATACTGGTTTGTAATTACTATTTCTGGTAGCATAATTCTTATCAAAGAATGACCTTTACAGTATAGAAGATATATTCTATCAAGAACAGTGACTGTGAATCAAGTGCCATCGAACTTTTATTGTAGTTTTTACATAGACTTTTTGTTTTTATGAAGCCAGCCCAGGAGAATCAAACATGAACATTGCTGGGTGTTTATGGATATCCATATATTTAGAACAGCAGTATGAAAATGTTTCCCTAAATATTTTTGTGCTTCTTGGCATGGAGGGCATTTCTTCTCTTCCCTTAAAAGAAGTAATATTAATCAGAAACATAGTAACAATAAAAGTCGCAATACAAGAAGAGGCTAAATATTATAATCTTTTAGTACTGAATGTTATGATGTTGAAAGTTCTGAAATATTCATGTTTTTTCAGAAATCAAACAATTGTTTAAGCTTAACCAATGAAAAATTATAGTTTATAACGTACAGATTACACAAGTGACTCACAAAGCCAATATTGTTCTTTGTTTTACAGTGTTGTCCGCACATTTTCGGGTCTGCGAGCCATACACGGACTACAAAGGTCGCTACCACTTTGGTTTTCACTGCCCCCGTCTTTCTGACAATAAATCTTACATCTTTTGCTGTCACCATAACAACACAGTATTTAAATACTGCTGCAATGAGACAGAATTTCAGACTGTTATGCAGATGAACTTAACAGGGAACGCAGATGGATATATGCATAAGTAAGTAAATGAGTTTTAAAGTACTCTTCACCAAACTGTTCCTGGTCTAATAACATAGTCTGAGGTGTACTTACTGATGGAAGCAACTAGAATAATTTTACATACAGAAAAACATTACTAAAAGGTTTTTGCTGTTACAAAACTCCTAAAAGAAAGGATATTTTAGCTTTGCTTTCTTTGCTTTGACATGGGCTATATAAACATTGCTAGGAGACAGTGTGTATAAAAGTTGCATATAAATGTAACAAATATAAAGTTACATATAAAAGTTACAAAAGTCTCTCCACCGACCCCAGTCTGATCCAAACTGTGTTTAAATGTGTATCAGTAAAAATAAACCGCGAAGCTGTCTGTAGGGGAGAGAGGGAGTGAGTTGACATTTTCCATATCAACCCAAATGCACTATTTTGAATCTTGATGTTTTGAATATAAATCTCTTCTAATCTCTGACCTTGTGGAGCAGAACATATTTGCTTGTATAGACATGGTGTGGTCTCCTTGCCTCTTACCTGGGATACTTCCAGGTACTGCTGGGGCCTATTGAAGATAAATGTCAGTAACTTTTTTTCTAAAGAACCAATAAGTAGCAAGTAGATCTTTGTCACTGATTACCTATTTACTATGACAAAATCATCACTTGTGGTCTGTTTTCTATTTAGTATTTGACATTCTGGCCACACTGATCTGCTGCTGCAGTTTCTCTTGGTGCAGAGGGCGGCTTCCAGCTGATGTAAAACCCCAAGGTCAAATTCTGATGTCTGCTTTCCCCTGCCATTTTATTCTGGTATCCAGCCCCTCCAGGGCAAGGAAGGAACAGATTAAAGACAACTGGAAATCCAGACTATTGATTTTTTTGTTTACAACAGGGATTTCATTGTTTGCTTCTTCGGTGCAAAAGTCTATCGGTATGTTGTCATTCATTCCTATGGAAGCAGGTGCAACACTGCTAGGAGACTGTGGTGCTGGAATACTGATGTCAGCTCTTTTAACATACTGTGTGCAGCTGCGTCCGGCAGCAACCAGCTCATGGAGTCAGCAAACTGTCATCTTCCTTAATGACCACTCCTCATACAGCTCTGCCTAGAGAAGTTTGAATCTTGCATAGATGTAGAAGTTGCATACTCTAACTTTACAGGTGTTAAAGTGACAGTCACCTGCTAGAAAGAAGTCTGTGTACTATGTAGTGTAAAAGAAAGACAAAAGTAGACTCTATCCATGTAGCGTGCCTTTAAATCAATGTGGATCTGTACTGTCTTGATACTGTACGTGCAGCTGTGTCCTCGAGGTGAAATTTCCTTGCCTTGGCCTTGTAGTGCATCTGGGAACATGATGAGAACATAACACACAGAAGGCTGGGGAGACACTTCAAGTCTAACAGGCCCATTAAAGGCCATCCATTTTCTCCACACTTTGTGCAGAGTTTCCCAGTTCTTTGTCTTGCGCATAGCAAATTTGCTTTATTTCTTCCCTTACTGTTCTGTAAACCCTGCACCAACACTGCTGAGCAACCGAGTCTGCCTAACAGGCAGCTTCATCATAGAGTTTGGGATGTTACTGGCCAATTATAGTTCAGCCAAGTAGAAAGCCAATGCTTCAGGCTTTTCCCAATGTCTCAGCAGCTACTCCATGTAGTCATGGCTAGAGCTTACTAAGGTAAGGCCCTTCTGTTCTTCCTTTCACCAACAATCTGAAATGGACAGAGCAATCAGCCACTTTCCAAAGCAGACATGGACAGAGGAACAGGTACAGTCTGATTGCAGAGTATGCCCTGGGATGTAGAACGTTTCTCTGCCTCCTGTGTTCTCTGTTTGCATGCCTGCTCCCCTCTGTACATGCACACACACTCAGAGAAATAAATGTAGGGCTGTTCATACTTTAGAGCCATTCTGTGTGAGCAGTTCCTCAATGGGGAAAAAGGTAGTTTGGTGTTCTATGAACTACAGTAATTATTTTAATGAAAGTGTTTAGAGCATAGTATAAGTATTAGATTAGTTTGCATTTAGCACTCTTCTTTTTTTTTTTTTTTTTTCTCATTCAGTTGTGATGGAGAAAAGAGCTACCTCTGTAGTCTTTGTTGGTAAGATTCATGGTTGAGAACCACCTGCAGGCTATTTACCATATTTGTCTTCAGTCCAGAATTTCTTTGGACATTAGCTATGTGCTGATCTTTTGCGAAGGTACATGAAATCATGCTAAATACAATAAAAAGCTTCTGGAGATGTAGGTTAGAGAAGTGCAAGAGTGGAACTGGTCTTGCCTTTTTGTAATTTCCTGAAACATCACTTCTGATAAATCAGGCAGGGCCAGGAAAATGAAGAGATGCTAACTTTCTACATAAAACTCCACCAATGCAGTGAGATGGAGAGAGAGAGAGAGATCTTGTCACCTTGAGCTCACTGAGATTGGTGGAAAACTTCCTGATAATTTTAGTATGCAATGGAGGGGCAGAATGAAGTGAAGCCTAGATACCTGCATTAAAAACAGTGTAAAAAGCATCCTACTTGATACACTATGACTTTATTTAACGTATATGATAATTTAACTTCATTTGGGTTCTAATACATCCAGGGTTCACTTTACAGTAACAAAGTCAGCTCTTTGTTTAGATCTGATTTCACACGTCAGTGAAAAAAAATTCTGGAGAGACCTATTGTACTGTGGCTGGGAAGAATGATTTAGGATATGGGAATAGCAATAAACTGAAAAAAAGGATTATAGTTTTCAGGGAACAGTGATTCAATGTTATTACTAAGTTTATTTCAATATTATTATTTGGTTTATTTTTCCCCTTAGCCATTTTTGTGATCTTCAAAACAAGTTTCTTGTTTTATAATACAGCTGAGGGAAAATATTAATGAAATGACTTGTAACTTCTTTGTCATGGCACAACTGAAAAAACACATTTGTCTTCTATAGCCGCACAATAGAACTATAGCCAGGTTTATTTACATTTTTTCCATTATTATGACAAAAGATTTTTATGTTTTTATAAGTGCAGAATACTGGGCTATTAATGCAGATTAATCAGTCTGTAATACTTTTGAATGTGAACAATTCATTTAGTATTAAATCCAGAAATACTAATGATGTCTAACAGACAAGAAAAGTTCTGCCATCTAAAGTATTTTTCCATAAAACTTAGTCTAGTATGTTGTTTAACTATTCTTAAAAATAGTATTCACTTGAATCTAGTATTCATACTCTCACAGGTTTTCTATTATGCGTGTTTTGCAGTACTACTATGGTAGGGGTCATTAATCTGATACTGGAACAGTGTAATGATAGTCTGTAATGCATCCATGTTTTTCCTTATCTCTTACTTCAGTTTTTCAGGGTTGAATGGCTTTTGCACACCACTACAACATTGCACTGAAAGCAACATGAGGACAGAATAGCACTATCTTTCTCCGTGTACAGCATGTCCCCTGCAGAGCTGGCATTTGCTTAAGTATCTCCCACAAAGTCATCTTTGTAAGAAAGCAAAAAAATAATTATCAATTCCACTACCAACTGTTTCAAAAAGATGTCATTTAGTTGGGAAGAGTTCTTAGGTACTATAGTAACAGATTCTACAGGAAAACACAGAATTGGGCAAAGGCCTCGAGAGAATAGTAAAAACAAAATAGGAGGGGAAAAAAACACATTTAAAGTGTTCATGCTAAAACTACACAGATTTCCTCAGTGTTAGAAGTACCAAGGCATTTGCTAGGATGTAAGCTTGCATTTCCTTGGGGCAACACTTAAAAAGTATTACTACTGCAAGTAACAACCCTGTTTAAGAAGAATAGGGAGAGAAACAGTTTCTATGGCCATCTGCCCACATTTAAACTATGCAGCTGTAGAATTCTGCTCACAATTGTTTTGATTTGTTGCTTTTTTAAGCCTGGATTCCCAAATTAATTATTTTCTATTCATGTGCTGCACATAAAAAACAAGAAACTCTTCTAAAAAATATAGCCTGGTCCTAACCTGCTTGTCATCTGTCACAAAAAGTTAATAAATTAGATGGAAGGAATGACATGGGTAAGAATAATTATAAAAGAACCTGTCTTTTCATTGTGTGTAGGGATGATAGAGAAATCCAAGCAGGATTCTGTAGATGGAATAGGAGGAGATGGATGGTAAAAGTATTTATTGTTCTCAGAGAGCCCAATTCAAGGCTCCCTGAAGTCAGAGCAGATCTTTCCATTTACGCAAGTGTAATGGAATCTGGATCAAAGCTATACTATGTATACCTTGTATTTCTATAAAAGACAAAGTTTCTTAAAATAATGAGCTATTAAGCTTTTCTGATAGGTCCATGAATTTCACAGAGAAGCTAAAAGGATATTGTCTTAGAACTTTTACTCTAGCATTATCTTTTGTATTTGTGTGCAAGAAGCAGCAGAGGACTGAGCAACATATCTTCAAAAGTCATTTTCAGTGTTGTATTGCTAAACCTTCTGTTGAACCTGAACAGAAACCTCCAAAATGACTGATTGGGAAGGGCAGGAGCACCAGCAGGGCAGGGCAAGCTTTCCAGCTGAGGAAGGGGAGAGGAGATATAACTACACCAAAACAACTTATTATACTTGATTATCCCGGAGAAGGAACAAACTGCTATTATTTGAGTCTCGGTAAATTTGAAGGCTGTTCACACTTTATTTTTAATTGAAATGAAACTTCTGCACAGAAGTACAGGAAAATGAGAATGCAAGATGAAACTTACAATTAAATCATTCAGTTCAATGAAATCAGATCAAGTCCTAGGAATTTTTTGATTCCCAGTTCTTTTCTGTGTCTTTGGCCTTACTGTTATTCACTGTAAGTAAGATTGTTAATTTTCTAATTAAGACATCTTCTTAATTTGTAGGGAAGTTCTGATTTTTAATATAATTAGTAGCTATCAGCAAAATTAGTATTTTCTAATATCTTAATAGGTTGTGAAACAGAAAATATCAAAATATGGAATTTCCCTCTGTGTACAAAACATACTACTTATTAATTTTGCTTGTGATTTT